TCACGGAAGGAGGGTGATGAGGGAAAGTCTCCAGCTCCACTGGATGACATCCAGAATGGTCCAGTTCCTAACTCAACCGGAGGATTTTATGAAAACGTTGGTTTTGTCGCTAGCCGTGAACAAGAGCAAGGCATGATTAACATATAACTCACTGGCGTACCTCTTGAGTTGTTGATGTAACAGTAACTAATCCTAGGAACACCTTTTGGGGTTCAACCGTTCAGTGTGTTTATTGTAGCAAGCGCCTCAGTATATCAATCTGTTTAGGCAAAGTGTTTAGGTATGGCTGAATGTGAAACTTGAAAACTACAATCGAACCTCTACTAAGAGGTCACCCACCGGGAACGGAGGAGTGACCGCGAAATCCAGGTTCCACAGACTGGGGATATTATAAAAAACGAAAAACAACGGCACTTTATCCCATAATTGATCCACAAAATCTCGCTCGAAAATGCTACTTACTTTGATTTTGGGAGAGAAACATGGATTAAAAGTTGAAGATCAAATTTAAGCCGTAAAATCGATAACAGATTATATCAAACCTTTGCAAAGAACGTTTTCAACTTGTGGTACAAATGTTCACTCTATCTAACTATCTCTGAACGCTGTTTTTTTATAGATGCTGTAGATACATCCTCGTCTGGTGACGAGGAACTTGTCTACAGTCAGCCTGACGATGGGAAACCCAAACCAATTCCTGTCGATGAGTTTCCAAAATACTTCAGGAAAAAATCAAAAAATGGAGCTATTGTGCTGCGAGAGGAATTTAAGGTATTTCCATAGCTCTTCCACGATCTAAGACATATCAATTTTTCGCAGAGAAATTATCGGTTTCACATTTTTTCTATTTCCTTTGAATTATTTCTTTAACTAGAAACTTTACAACACGTATAGTAGACTGGACTAGAAACAAAAATCAGTGTTCTTTGGACGCAGGCATACGTGAAACCGCAACTCGCGGCTCAAATACGAGACATGTGCTGCCCTGGTTATCGATGGAAAATCGTGATTCTAGTTAAGATTAGCAACTAATTATTCAAAGGGGGTGAGAAAAAAGAGATTTTAGACGTAGCTATGGCAAGGGTAATCGATTGGAGTGGAAAGCACGATCTTTGGCACATTTGTGGACAGTTTTCGAAAGGTAAGGCTTCTGTTTGGAATCTATAAACGCGGGCAGTGTCACAGGTTCATCTATATATTTTTAATGGTGAAGATGTAAGTGAATTGGTTCACGTTTTCTGGTTTCTCGAAGTGTTTGACTTGTTTTTACTAGCTAACCTATAAAGTGAAAAACAATGTCTAGTCAATACATCGCAATAATTTCTAATGAACTTTTATGGTGGTCATGGAACTCATGACTATTTTCTAGGATTTTCTTGGAGGCATGCAGGCTTCCTGGAATGCTGGCCGGAAAAACAGATCTAAGAACCGTTATGGAAACATAACTACCTGTGAGTAGTTCACGTAATTTCGAAATACAGCACATTTCCAGTGATTTTCTTAAACGAAAACAAAGGAATCACTGCAACCAATCAGATCGGCGTAAGGTATCACAGGGAACCAATGAGAACTCGAAGTTAGATTGAGAGAACTATCTTCAGCGCGGGAAAACCAGAATTGGTTTTAAGTCGAGTGCATCACAGAAAGTCGTACTACATTTTCACTTCCTCAGTGATACATTACTAAAGAGACGCACTGCAATATGGAAACCTATTTGCTTTTTGTAATAAAGAAGGCAAAAGTTATCAACAGTAATTACATCTACATTGGTGTATGCGTCTGTTCTTGAATAAATTGTAAGAAGAACCACTCTTTTTGCGTTTATATTTCAGCTTAAATCTTAATTGACTATATCTGCTTCAAGAACGATTTGTGTGAGTTACGAAATTCGCTTGCTTTGTAGCTCACACTCGCACCCAACGCATGACTGTATTCTTCATTGCCAGGGTCCTATTCGTCTTTGTCGTTTGACTTGAACCAACGGTCGTTCTCGTCATCAACAAGGGCCAATTCTTAACCCGAGTCTTAGCCATGTATAACATGTAGTGTACTGCGGCAAAGTGTATATTGAACGTTTTTGTCTCCTATAGCTTTACTCATACTTCGTTTTTAATGACAAGCTCTGTTTATTAACAGATGATCATTCTCGTGTTGTTTTGGACAAAGTAGAAGGCGATCCTACGTCTGACTACATTAACGCTAGTTACATCCCGGTAAGTTGCTCATTGAATACGTATACACAGTTCTTTCCAATGAGTGTCTTGAAACCAAAACCAAAGTCAACGCGATCGCCAATCAGAGCAAGGGAAAATCTCAAGGAGCCAGTAAGAACTTAAAGTCAGTGTTGGTAAAGTACTAAACCGTCCTAAGCGCGGGAAAACGCAAGTATGGATTGTAATTGTGATTACGTCT